GAAAAAAATATAGAAATTTCACACCTTACGGCAGTCTGTCAACTCCTGTTACTACAAATATTAACTTTTTTGGATTTTATTTTTACAATGTAATGATGAATAATGCATCTTCAAACTGGTGTCTCAACCTTGCTGCCAACTTTTCTCGTTCAGGAAAAAATTGCCACTTATTTCCCAACCAAGTATTCCAAAGTAAAACTTTGCTCAACTTCAACTGGCTGTACTGGAAAAAATGTACTACGAGAGTTTGGCAAGTAAGCAACCAAACTCAGCTGCTTCCAATAGTCTTTGCCGTAGCTCAGCTACATTTTGAATCGGCTTGAAATACACTTTTTTCTTTTACAGTTCCCCAGTAAAAAAATCTAACGGATTCAAATCTGGTGACCGGGCTGGCCACGGTATTGTACCAGACCGCCCTATCCATCTGCCTGGAAATTTTTGATCGAGATACTCTCTCACTGAGAGTGCATAGTGCGCTGGGCAGCCATCGTGCTGAAACCACATGTCCCTATAAATACTCAGTGGCACGTCCTCCAATAAATTTTCTAAATGATTTTGCAAAAAACCTAAATAAACCTCAGCAGTCAAAGTCTCTGGGAACTCAAACGGACCGATTATTTTACCATTTAAAATTCTTGTCCAATGGTTTATCTTGAAGCGATATTGAGATTTATCTTCTCTCATCAAATGTGGGTTTGCTACGTGCCACTCGTGTAAGTTATGCAGGTTCATGTACCCATCTTTCTTAAATGTGGTCTCATCTGACCATAAAATTTTTTCAAAGAACCGTGTATCTTCCCTGTGTCTTTCTAACATTGTGTGACAAAAAGCAACGCGGGGCTCATAATCCCGGGGCAGAAGAGCTTGAACACGCTGTACGTGGTATGGATGGAGCACGTTTTTTTTGCAAGATTCTATGGGCTGTACTTTGGGCACACCTGTTTTTAGTTATATTGCACGCACTGAAGTACTCGGGTCTTCTTCGAGAGCTCCTAGCACCACGTCTTCGTAAGGAAGGAAAGATCTTCCCTCACCGTGTGATTGGTTTGGTAGTTGGCCCTCTGAGAACAGTAAGCGGTGCACATTTGTGAACACTCGATGATCTGGATGACGAGCTGCATTCGGGTACCTCTCACAGTAAAGTCTCGCTGCAGCACTAGCGTTGCATCTGCGTTCCCCATAAATGAGGTGCATGTTAGCATATTCTTGTAAAGGTGTACACGGACATAGCGGTACTGCACAATCACACTATCAAAGATAGTCTAAGGAAAGCAAATGTTGTTTTGAAGAGCAATTAAACAGTCCCAAATCCAAATCACAAGCGATCAACAGTCCAGTTCACGAATCCAAAATTAGTAACAGTACGAAATCAACAAGCACGAACATGTAAAGATGCGCAGTAAACGAAGGAGTACTGATCGGTATCAAAGTGTGCAATAGCAAGTAAGTGATGTGCTTCATCCATACCACATACAGCGTGTTCAACCTCTCATGCCACGGGATTATGAGCCCCGAGTTGCTTTTTGTCGCACAATGTTAGAAACACACAGGAAAGATCCACAGTTCTTTGAAAAAATTTTATGGTCGGATGAGACCACATTTAAGAAAGATGGGTACATGAACCTGCATAACTTACACGAGTGGCACGTAGCAAACCCACATTTGATGAGAGAAGATAAACCTCAATATCGCTTCAAGATAAACCATTGGACAGGAATTTTAAATAGTAAAATAATCGGTCCGTTTGAGTTCCCAGAGACTTTGACTGCTGAAGTTTATTTGGATTTTTGAAAATCATGTACAAAATTATTGGTGGACGTGCCACTGAGTATTTACAGGGACATGTGGTTTCAGCATGATGGCATGATGGCTTGCCCAGCGCACTATGCACTCTGTGAGAGAGTATCTCGATCAAAACTTTCCAGGCAGATGGATATGCGGTCTGGTACAATAACGTGTCCAGCCCGATCACCTGATTTGAATCCTTTAGATTTTTTTACTGAGGAACGGTAAAGAAAAAGTGTATTCCAAGCCGATTCAAAATGTAGCTGAGCTACGGCAATGACTATTGGAAGTAGCTGAGTTTGTTAATAACCGTGGATTCGCTCGTTTAATAACCCGATCTTTTTAAGAAGATGTCGAGCGTGTATTGCGGCTGAAGGAAAACAGTTTGAGCATTTGTTGTAAAGGTAAATCATCATCAGCAGCATTTTGGCGCCCACTGTTGTGCAAACAGTTATCCTTAAGGGTCCTTGTGCGTTTCATAATCGCTGTTTAATTAGGAAATTTTGAAAAATTTACATCATTTTTTTTTCAAATAAAAATTGTGCATAAGTTAACGAGTAATCTTCTAAGTGTCATACCATTTTGGAATCGTTATTAAATGCGCCAACTTTTAAGGTTACTTGCTAAACTCTCGTAGTACATTTTTTCCAGTACAGCCAGTTAAAGTTGATCAAAGTTTTACTTTGGAATACTTGGTTGGGAAATAAGTGGCAATTTTTCCTGAACGACAAAAGTTGGCAGTAACGTTGAGATACCAGTTTAAAGATGCATTATTCATCATTACATTGTAAAAATAAAATCCAAAAAGGGTTAATATTTGTAGTAACAGGAGTTGACAGACTGCCGTAAGGTGTGAAATTTCTATATCTTTTTCAAAGACCTATAATTTTCAAAACACATACATAACATTTTTTTAAATATTTTCTGATAGCTGTTATGACTTTGCCTGTCACCCGGTTTCGGCTGATGTCGACTTCTGGGACACCCTGTATATATAATAATCATGAAAGTTTTCGATACGAGGTCAAATTAGGTAACTCTTGGAGCCGCAGAGGATGCTTATAAAATTAAGTGAACTAACCTACAATTTTTGTATTTATCGAGTTACTGTAAGCGTAGATGTTCATTTCATCAATAGCGTAGAAATATTTTTGCATAGTTTATATTCTTGTGTTATGGTAGCATAACGCAGAGGTTTCAAAGCTATTTCAATAATATGTTGTTACGCTTCAAATGTTGGAATGAATTACTATGAATTAAATTATTAAGATAATTTTTTTATATGAAATTATACATGTAGATAATATGAATAATAATGAAGTTATTTAGAGAGGCGTGTTCCGTATAGGTGAGAAAGTTGGTTAGTTAGATGTAATGACTTCAAGGGGATGTTTGAAACTTGGTAGATTTCTTGAATAAACATCGTCGGCAGTTGCTGGTATCAGTATGTGTCACCAGTACGGATGACAAATGTCATTAATACTGGCCAATAATCTTTCTCCGGTAAGGAGTGCATTAGACGATCTGTCCTTAATTAATAACTTATGCGCCAAGTACGATAATTTGAAACAAAAATAAAACATAAATTATATACATGTCTATAGGTTGAGTCGTTTTTGTTTCAGCTTACAACATGGTAGCCTGTCGATTACCGATACGAGGAATGGAGCAAACGCCACAGATAGTCAAGTGCCTTTGAAAAAGTGAGTATCTTAGACTTCAACTGTCACCATACGTCAACCAATGTTTGTCAAACTAACTTTCAACTAATTCTTCACTAACAGTAGCCTGGTCAATAATAAGGGTTTTAATAAGTAAATTGGGTATTGTTCCTCTAACTGCCGTAACAACATTCTTCCAATATGATGCAGTAAGTTGCCGGTTTTAAAGAACTTTTGAGTGAGCCACAGTTGCTGCATCTAAAATAACTTGTATTTATTACCAGATATAACTGTCATCACGAGGCTGCAGTTGAAAATATTGTCTACAAACAGTTTTGACAGCAGTTAGAGGACTGATTTTCCGTTTTTTATCTTTGTATATACGATACTCTGAAGTAGCTTGTACTTGTAGGGGACTTTGGTTTAGATTTTGGGATTAAGGTTTATGATAAATAATTAGAGTAACAGATTTTGCTATAGTAGGGGAAGAACATGAAATTTACAATTCAGTTCTGATGAAAAGCCAAGTAGTTTTACATATTCTGAAATGTTAATATTTTCGCGTTACGTTTTCAGTTGTCGTTTATTAACTAAGACAAAAGGGATGAGACAGATCAATGTTTGATTTAAGAGTTATCACTGGACCCCATAAGAGTTTTTGGGGTCGCAGAACTCAATACCGTAGCGAGTTGACCTGTAACACGTTCAAAGTCACTACAAGGTCAAATTGAAAAAATGTCTAGAAAAACGTTAATGAAGCTTTATGGATCCCTTAAATCGAAATCTGGCGTTTGCTTCGCCACTTTGACCTTCATATGAATACCCCATAAATCGACGTGGTCTTAGATATACCTATTCAAAGATTGACCTTGACCTTGAAATAACCTCTGTATAACCTCCCGGGGTGAAACGGATGCTAGATTTGGATTCACACAACCAGAAAATTTGTAGGAGGGACTTCCAAATAGATTTAAGTACTTTCACAAACTTTGACTTTGAAGTATCCTTCATTTGACTTGAAGTAAACTCAGGATGACCTTGCTGGGTAAGACAAACGCCACTAGGTTTGGATTCAGTGACTCAAGGAACTGCAATAAAACGTTCTTCCAAACCTTTTAAGCATCTTGTTAAGGTTTAACCTTAAAATGACCTTGAACCTGACGTGATAGAGGTCAAAACCGACTTCGCATTGAGATCGGCGATCTCAAAAATCCTAAGATACCCCTACGGTGGCCAGTGATAACTCTTAGATCGAATGTTGATTAGTGTATTGAACGACAAAGACTTGTTGAAATACCAACGTCCTGTAAAAGATGAATAAATTCTTGTGCCCCAACTACTACGTCACTAATGATAATGGATTTGCAATATTCTATATTACTCTATATTCCTATATGATTTCTACATTTAGCGTACATTTATTCAGCATGTATCTAGGTAATGCAAATATTATGCTCAAATATACCTATTACCTTTGTAAAAAATGTGCAAATTCAATAAAGTGTGCATTGATCAAAATGGTATTATTGACTATTTGAAAGTTAGTGTGACCACATGTTATACGTGGTTTACTAGTTCAATCAAATTTGTTGCAGTAAGATTAATTTTGAATCAAAATCTTAAATAACGCATCCTATCTGACATGAAATTTCCCGTATTTGCCCATTTTAATATCCATTTCCAACAATATTGTGGTTTTCGCCTAAAAATAAAAAAATCATATCTCGATAAGAAGCATTTGCGGGCGGCATGTTCATAGGACTTTTCGACTCGAATTGACCTGAGGAACACGCAGAAAAATGGTGTCCCTTACCTCGCGGACACCCTGTACATGAGCGCGTTCAGTCGATAAAAAGCGGTCTCGAAGTGCAGCGCTTTTATGCTGAATACCGGCTTTGTCAGTATGACATATATTTTCGCATGGCTTGTCTGACTTGATAGTTTGTTGATTAAATCCCGATCGCCGATTATATTTACATTTAGAAGTTTGTTCGTACAGTGGTCAGTGACTGTGTCTGGGATCCGGCCGTGTTGAGTTCGGTCTTTGCAATGAGATTGGTTACCAACTAGCGATATTTAAAAGGACGAGTAGAACAGTCAATGTTGAACACAATTTAACTCCATAAGTCACCGCTACCCCTCCCCCCTTGGAATGGCCGCCGTTTTTGTTTTGATATAAAAAAATGACATGTCTGAAAGATAATGCTGTGTTGTTGTATCCAGAGGCGTACATATAAAAAAAAAATGTAATCAATCCACTAATAATAAAACAAAGCTTAAAATTTTAGCCCAGAAATAAAAAAAATGTGCAATTTGTTACATTTTTTAATTTTTCACAAAAACAGATCCTCAACATATCAATTTTATGTGATTTCAAAACTACTCTCAATTACCTAGAAAGGGAATCATAAACATTACCTCTAGTTCTAAAAACAGTTATCAGAGCTCGATTTTGACCTATGTTACCGCAATGCTCATGATATTAAAACAAAAAACTGCCAATAAACAAACAAACCAATAAAAGTAATAATGTTAATTAAAAACAATTTAACAATGTTACTGATAAAATTGATACATTCAGAACAAAAGTTGCGTCTACCTGAATTTAATAGGCAAGCCGTCGCCCGCATTGCTACCTGGCTTGTGGCCCGACGAATCATTTCCCTGTCAGCTCTTATTTCATCATCTACAGACATTATTTGTTGGACGAGTTCATCCCTGAAGTCGGCACATCAAACTAAACACGTTGCTTCATCCATCCCATAAAAATTCCAACGGCGTCATGTCTGGTGAGCGCGGGTGGCCAAGCCACGGTTCAACCACGACCTATCCAAGGAGAGTGGTGATATTCAAATGCTCTCTAACTGGACGTACCGTTGATACAAGGGTCGTATCAATAGTAACAACTTTAAGTGTTTAGACCTAGAGGCACCACTTCTAGGTAATTGAGAGTACATAAATTCATATGCTAAGGATCTGATTTTTGTGAAAAATTAAAAAATGTAAAAAAATTGACAGATTTTTTAATAAAATTCATATTTGACATTTTCTTTAATTTCCGGGCTAAAATTGTATGCCTTGTTTCATTATTAGAGGGCGGCAGGCCCTGTGATTACATCTTCTTATATCTGGTCGCCCTCTGGATACAAGAACAGAGAACTCTTTTTCAGACATGTCATTTTTTTATATCAGAACAAAACGGCGGCCATTGCAAGAGGGGAGGGGTTGACCTCTCTTATGGAGTTAAATTGTGGTTGAAATGGACTGTTCTACACGTCTTTCAACTATCGCTAGTTGGTAACCAAACACACTGTATCGGTGTCCCAAAAGTCGACGTCGAGGCGGAAACGGGGGATAGACCAACTCATGATAATTATCAGAAAAATAATTAGAAAATTCTAAGTTGTGTACTTTTTAAATTAGGGAAAATAGTACGAATCTACACCCTGTGATGATCTTTTGGTTCCCATTATCTCAAATTTAAATTTTTCTCAGACAGTGCCTTTCTTCAGCAGCAATGCAAGCCTGAAACCTTAAAAAATAATCAGGTTATCAGACTAATCTTATGTTATTTACAAATTCAGCTGCTTCTGTTATTCTGTCCCGTAGCTCAGCTAAATTTTCGATTGGCTTTGAGCAATTTTTTTTACCGCCCACCAGTAAAAAAAATCGAGTGGATTTAAGTGATCACATCGTTTGAGAAGACTCAACTCTTGAAGATGATCTCGGATTGTAGAGATTGTACTCGCTGGACTGTACTCGTGCTTTTGGGCACTCCCTTGCCTGCTCCTATTTGACGTACTGAAGATTCGGGTGTTCTTCAAATGCTTGTAGTACGATGTCCTCGTAAAGGAAAGGAAATTCTTCCTTCACAATGTGCTTGATTTTGGAATCGTCCTTTCGAGAGTAAACGGTACTCATTCACAAAATCGGGATAACGGCAGCATTTGAGTACCTCTCACGATGAATGAGGTCCATGTTGGCGTATTTCTGTATGTTGTAGTAATAAGAACTAAAAGATCATCACAGGGTGTAGATTTTTCCGATTTTTCCGGATATTTAAATACTGTAATTTGAAAAGTATACGACTTGGATTTTTTTTATGTTTTTCTGATAAGTACTATGACTTGACGTCGACTTTTGGCATATCCTGTATAGCGTGGCAGAGTGAACGGAATTTGTGTGACTAACAGGGTGGCGACTGCTGTACAAACAGAATTTATATGACAGGAACTGTCAAAACTATTTCGCGGCTACCTCTGTTATGTTACTGAACATTTGGTATCAATTACACAGAGCCACAAAAAAGTGATGTGTGGGTTCGACTATGTTTTTTAAATTGAGTGCCAGTGGGTAAATTTTAAAGAAAACGCATATAAACGATCACAGGTGCACAAAAGATAAAAATGGTGTGTGTTGGGGGTTTTTCGATATTTTTCCCAACTACCTTTCCCCTCTGAGCAGGAACCTCAAGTCAGATTTCGAGGAAAGTGGATGATATGAAGGTAATTTTGACATCAGAATTAAAGACCTCCCCACCAAAATTGTCAAAATACAAGACTACAGTCTTGATACCTAAACTACCGTCTTATTTATCCTCCGGCCCCCAATTTTGACTTCGCATTACTGTACAGCGTGAAACATTATTTGGGAAAGACATTAGTGCCATTTTTTTTTTTGTGGACCTGTGTTACAAATGGAACAGTGTGGATTTGAGATAGCACCATATAAAACTAGCTCATTTTCTTGGAGAGCCGTCCTGCCATGACTGAGAAGAAGTTTAAAACTTCAGCGCTTCAACATCAATGACTCATAAAAAAGCTTTTAAACATGTCAAATAACAAAAGAGATACCGAATTTGAGACAGCCTTGTTTTTGTAATTGGTAATGTGGATTTGGATATGTACTTTCATCAAGAGCCAAACAAGAAATTTGATTGAACTACGTAATTCTGCACTTCTCATGGAGATAACCCAAACTGTGTATATACCCTTGGTTGTAGGACCGCCGAGTCCGAACAGTACCGTGATTACGAGAGTGTTTTTATAATTCCTGGGACAAGCGTTGACGCAAACCGTAAGCGCACAGTGACGCCATCTCGTTGTCATTTGCGATAATCATTTTTAAAGCCTTTAGAATCATTATCACACGGAAAACAGGTAGAAAGGTTGGTTTTGAACGAAACTCCAGCACATTAGGAAATACCACCGAAGGAATCATCAATAGCTATTTTTGTGTTTTACTTTACTTGAATGTCACCGATATCAGCTAATCTGCCTCTCATGACGATTACGTGTAATGGATAAAAAAATATAAAAATAATGAAAACAAAACGATAACAGCAACTCTATAAAAGTCATATTGTTAGGTCTTGAATTAAATAGGAACATTGCTCCCCTGCATTTTTGTACGAGAAAAGAACAAAGAACACCTGTCTACCTGTTTTTCTTGACATCAGAAGCAGTAAGCGGAATTAATAAATAAAATTCAAAATTGTCGCAATCCATGACGAGATTTTTAGAAATACCTGTAGAGTGAGGCGGGTGGAAAAATAAAGTTTTTTTGTTATAACCTTGTTATTTATCTTCACCTCTCTTTTCCTCTTTATACGAACGTATACATATGTTGTCTCGTGTACAGTCTTGTTCAAAAAGAACCTCCCTAGTAATTTTTTAAGGAGCCAAGTTATTAACCTGAAATTCGAGATTATAAAATTGATTCACGGACACTATATTTTGGCGTAAAAATAATGGGCCTTACGCGTTATTATATCCGTGGAATATAAACAGTCAAAGTTGAACATTTTTATATATTGAATCGCCTATAAGTCAAAAACTAATAATTAAAAAGCTGCAGTATGTATTTCCTGCTTTAGGAGTGTGCAATATAACATGAGGCATTAATTTTAAAAAAGTGTCAGTTTCTGAAAATCTTTTTGAATGAAATGTTTTATATCTAATTACATATTCGTATAAATCATTCCAATAGAAGTAGGTAAATAAGTATAGAGTTGAGATGATTGGTTATTGGAATATAGGCGATTCACTCTCCAATAAAGACCAAGTTTGACAATCTGTCAGTGTTTAAAAGATAGCGTAATTCTATTCTAGGGTGAGAAGCTTTGAAATGAGGTATGACGTCAGCTTTCAGTCGCCACCTTGAAATTTCCAACTGCCGTTTAACACCAAAACATGGTATCCATGCATCGGTTTCATCATCCCAAATTTCAGCTAGTTAACTTGACCTGTTCAAAGAATAAGTTAGGGGAGCATTTTTGAAACCACTGTATAAACAATACATGATAACTCCTCCATAGCAAGGACCTTGATAACGATGATACACCCTCGCAATATCGACGCATAGGCAACCAATTATGCAACCATAAACTACGCGACCCGCGTATGGAGGGCGTTCTCCATCGCGAACATTGGACACGCTTCAGGAGGAATCGACCGCCATCTACCAGAATCGAGCTTTATCTAGAAAACGCGGAGTGTATCGGGAACGGCCGATTCACCACATAAACGCATGATGACACGTTCCTGATCTTGGACTTGTGACAGCACTGCATCACGTACTCCCTATCCTGATGTGGATATCCCAAGATCGGGGCGTTATTTCAGTTGTTCAAAGGCGCGCTGGCAGTTTCCTGTCAGACGAACTTCTGAACTTCCTTGCCTGCTCAACCCCAGGAAGCTTTTCAATTGCGACACAGCCATCGCTCATTCCTTGATCGAGCGCACTTTCTCTGGATTGACCGTAACCCCACCCCGGCTGGCTATGTGGCCTAGGTAGTTCACCCTTCTTCCGTAACAGGCTGCTCTTCGTTAGATTCAATTTCAAGTTTGCACCTCGGAGCCTCTGGAACACCTCTTCTAAATTACTAAGGTGCTCGTCGAACGTCTTGTCTACCACGATGATGTCATCCAGGTAGACGAGGCATGTTTCCCAGGTTAGCCCCGACTCCATCAACCTCTCGGCGGAAGGGAACATCTCCAATTGCCAGAATACACTCCCGGCACACTCACAGTTCAGTCTCTAAAAATGGTCAACGTCACTCCCAATGCCACCACTGTAACTAAAACAGCGTTTTTAATGTTTGAATTCGAATTCAACACTTGCAATTTATAACAAATTTATAACCGTGTCGACTGGACTATCGTGTTCTGCGCTGTCGACTACTTCACTGTCTGTCCACTGATCGACTATCCCCTTCCGCCATGTGCGCAGCACATTTACGTTCATATTAGACAATCCTGAACCTGCAGGCACTTTATTGAAGTTATCTAGATGACGATTGACACGTCTCGGACGCACTCAATGATGTCGCAAGCTATACCGCTCCTGATGCATGGCGGCGGAAACTCTGGTTGCCTAAACGTCGATATTGCGAGCGCGTCTCATCGTTACTTAAGGTCCCAGTTACGAGGGGGTATACGTATGTGATAAATCGTTTCAAAGCTGCACGCCCAATAAGGAGGAGCGACAAGAAGAAAACCTATCAATGGGTATGCACCCTAAAGCTTTAAAAAATGAATTTTACAGAACAAGCCATGATATAAAGATTTAAACAAAACAAATGCTTGGTCTCAAGACAGATTCTACTCAAATATGGCAAGTTTATTGCATTATTTGGATCGTGCTTCTTTTGCGATAGAGCCGTCACTCATAAACCTCAGTTGAGGAACTTACGGAAATAAAAAATATGGATTTTCTTAATTGATAGTATTTACAGACCATAAACTCTTGGCATGGCAGGAGAATAGATTGGTAACAATTGTCTATACTGGAATTACTAAATAATTTAATTTTAATTGACTAAATTGAGAAAATTTCAAAAAGGAATAAATACCACTCGCCTCATCTTATCGTGCTTCAGTTGTTCCTGGAATGTTTGGCCGAGCCATAGGGTTCGATTCTTTGTGCGTAGAATTGCATTTAGATTACTTTATTAGATGATGTTTGACGATAATCGCGATTATATAGATACATCTATGTACCATCTACATCCAAAAATAGATATACATAAATGCAATTTCTGGGTCAAAATTCTTGTAAAATGAATTATTATGTATATCTATTCTGGAACTATAGGATATTTCATATGCGGGGGTCTCGCAAGTATAAATCACTGTTTTCAAGGTACAAATACGAGTAGGGTGCAGTTTGTGAAATCATATTAGATAATCTTCTTGCCAGATTGTATCCAAGTCATAATAAAAAAGTATTCTCCAGGCGAAAATAAGTTCCTTGTATCAATTATAGTAACACATTCAGTGAGGTTCATTTTTAGCCTGTACGAGAAAAAAATCGATGAAATGTGTGTTACAAAGATAACTTGTGTGGCCTCTCACTCAGGTTGCTAGCCAACGAGGTGCTTTTATCTTTTTCTAACACATGCGCTTCTCTCTCGTTCACATTTCGTCGTCAGTAGTATTTGGTTTTCTGTGTACACCTATCAGATTTACTAAATCTTCTATTGCATACTTGAAAGTCACTATGAGTTTTGAAGTTGATGAGAAGTATGTTTTTTGACATTTGCGAATCAAGTGAAACCAGTTGGATTTTGGCTGGTCTTGTAACCTGCCGAAGAATGGTGTTATAATAAGGCCTCCGCATATGATAACATAAACAAACATACACGATATAACACATACATAAAAGTGATTAGTACAGGCGGTTCATTCAAAGGTGTCATTGTTTATGGGGCATAATCATGTGTCTTTTGAGGTAACACCTGGTCAAACTTAATTCGAACGATTTCGTTATGAACAAAAGTTCGAACTTTTATGTTACCCTAAATTGGCTTTCTGGGTTCAGTCTAGGGTCCGACTGAAGCTCAATTTTTGGCTGAAGCTGAAGCCGAAATTCGACTTTTAACACAACCTTCGTCCGAAACCGAATACTCGGTTAATCAATACCTATACATATATATAAATATATAGTTTTGTCCACTCTGTCCATATCTGAACCACAATACAGGGAGACATAAAAACTTTACAAGGTGTTCAAAAAGTATGGATAGATCAAAATATCTCGAAAAATACGTTTCATAAAGAAAATATGGTGTAATAAAGTTGTAAGGTTTGGAAAAATACATTTCATGGTGACCTTGACTAAGAACGACAAGGTCATTTGAAGATCAATACCATTTTCTTAAACAGAACCCCTATTTTTGTCATTTGACGTTGTATATCTTCTCCTATGACCTTGAAAAGACAAACTGCCACAAAAAACGTTTAATAAAAAAAAATGTGTAATAAAGTTGTAACATTTGATACGATTCATCTAGTGTTGACCTTGAACGTCTCCTTAACTATGACCGTCAAGCAAATATTAAGGTCAAGACAGTTTTCTTAAATGTAAACTCTTACTTTTTATATCGGTAATAATGGTTTTTATGCTCAAGTATGTCCATCAAGGTCATTTGAAGATCAAATGAATTTTTAACGAAAGGCTTCTATTTTTATCTTCTTAAATGCAAATTGCGGACCACTTTATGTTCAAGTATCCTTGCCAATGAACCTTCAAGGTCATTTGAAAGTCAAGACAGTTTTCTTAAATGAAACCCTTATTTTTAACACCGTAAATGTGAAGAAAAAACAGGTAAAAGAACTAAATTTCGTGCATTCACAATTGCAAAAAAACGTTTCAGGTGTCAAAAGACAACTAATTGGACGTTTAACCTTATTCTGCTTTCAATTTCAAAAATATTTGCAGGCACAGCCTACTTCTAAAAATTATCGAGATACTGACTTTTTAACGTTATTTTATCATAAATAATTAAAAATGCATCGAACCTTAAAAATCGAAATATCTCAAAACGGCTAACTATAACGAAAACTCACAGGAGAGCTTTTTTATGCAGAAAAGTGCGAAGAATCAGTTTTTTTATTCAAAAGCAAAAAATTGCACTAAGAATAAATTTTCGGTCATTGTTACACTACAGGTACAGTAGAGAGCGCCCTCTAGCGGCTACAGTAAAACTATGCCCATGGTTCGTTTTGTCGTATCAAAAAACCCTTGTATACCAATTTTCACTGTTATATCAAATATTGTTCAAATATTAAAAAAAACTATTTTAAAAAGTAAATTTAAACACCCTGTATTTCGGAAGCCACGCATTTTTCGACCCATGTTTATAGATTATGCACCAATTTTATAAGTCTATCGAATCTCAAAGTATGCAACAATAAACTGAACACCCTGTATTTCAACATGAAGAGAAATAGTTGCGATTAAACATGAAAGGACATCCGGTAATGGAAACCTCTGACGTTCAACGTGTTTGAGGCTTGTTCGTATACATCTTTTTCTTTCACATAGCCCCAGAGGAAGACCATTGGCGTTTAGATCGCACGATCTTGGTGGCCGATTTGATAGCCAAACCAGAGAGATGACACCGGCTGGAAATTTGTACAAAAAAATGTCGGCAAATTAAAATCCGGCGTTCTTGCTGTTCCAAACACTTTTGTCTAACCGCTTGTACTACGACATCAACAAACACACAAACCATTTAGCGTATGACCTGTCGTAAAATTCAAACTTAATCTGATGTGTGCTTCTGACTGTCTCTGTTGTGGTGCCGCTCTGTCTGTCTGTTTACGGGACGTCAGTTTCTGATCGAAATCGTCTTCTATTTGCCGCCAATGCCACCAACGACGCCGAACCATCGACCACGAATGCCACCGATGCCATGCTGGACGCCAATCGACGGACTTCAACGCCGACCTCGACTTCGACAGGAGGAAAAAAGGTGATGAACCACGAGGCGGATGCTCGAGATGAAGCCGACACCAACACCACCACAACCACAGCCAATGAAAATGCGCCAACCACAGTTCGCACATGTACACATTAGTTTTCTCCTTTGTCTTTTCTATACTCAGGATGCAACCCATAGCTTTCGGTGTTCCGTGTCTAGTCATATTAAAAGGATGTCCTTCTTATAGCAGACTTGAGCGGATTTTTGCATATACGAGGGTTGAAGCAGAAACAGGGTCCCAAAGACCTCAAGCCACAGTGGAAGGCAACACTTCTAATTCAAAATTCATTCAAACATTCAAATCAATGTGGTTCCATAGAGTTGGTAGATCTACAGCAGATGAAATATTATCAAGTATAGTAAATGGAATTAACCAATATATGGATGAAAAGGTACCATCTATATGCGTATTTGTCGATTTACAAAAAGCGTTTGACACAGTTAACACAATATTCTTCTGGGAATTTTAAAGTTAATAAGTTCTAGCGGAAATATGCAAGAGTATACTTTAATGGAAAATTGTTTATAGAATTATACAGGGTGTCTCAGAAATAACACGCCAGAGGGACACTGGAGGTAGATTGGCTTCAGATCAATCAAATAAGATCAACATGACCTTAGTAAAAGTTTTCTAATTTTCGAAATATTGCCACTTTTCTCAAAAATCCCTATATTTTGCTTCTTTTTTCCCTGTTATGGCTATAAAGAACTTCTAACTTACGATTTTTTCCTAGGCTACAATTAGCATGGTATGCTAAAAAAATTAAATTATTACATTTGGTTTCAATGCGACAACCTTCACTAAAGGTTGACTAATAAATTACTGTGAAAAAATGTGCCATACTAGCTCTTTCAATAGTATAACGTTTGTGGGTTCTATTTACTAAGACTGAATAACTCCAACTTTTGTCATTGAAGTCGTAATATTTGCGAAATACTACAAATAAAAAATAATAAGTGGAGCTGTCATTTGTGTCCAAATTACAACTCTGTAGATGTTGTAATAGCTTTTTATTTTAAAAAACGTCTAAAACAGCCATCCATTATCCTTTTTATTCATTGCTGTATGCCAGCATCAAAATAATAAACAGAACATTAGGTTGTATTTTTTATCACCATTGATTCACGAATCAAATCAAATAAATAATTAGGAATCATTATAACATCTTAAATTACCTAAATGAAAATTAAATTAACATCTAGTGTAAATATTGCCTGAAAAATTATCATTATCATCATTATTATTACTATTTTCATAACATATTTTAAAAATTACCACAAACTCTTATACACAACCTGCAGCTTCTTAAAAATTGTCCTTTTAAATGTCTAAAACTTAAATCGGATATTTTGCGTGTTGCTTGACGGATTCGATGACGCAGTTCATTGGATGATCGAACTGGTTTTCCGTAGATTTTACGTTCTTAACATCCTCACTAAAAAAATCCAGAGGGTTCAGGTCTGGGGAGCGTGGGAGCTACAAAATTGGTCTTAGCCGGCCAATCCATCTTCTAGGTATTGTTTCATCAAGGTACTCCCTTACTGCACTAGCATAGTATGCAGGGCACCCATCAATCTGTAACCACATCCTTCTTCCTGTCTCAAGAGGCACATCTTCTAAAAAAATGGATAGATTTAAGTAAGGTTGACTTTTTAAGATCATTTTCCGATTCAGTCTGGTACATTTTTTTTTACTTTTACTAAGGACATGTTGATTTTATTTGATTGATCTACAGACATTCTACCTCTCGTGTCACTCTGGTATGTTATTTCTGGCACAGCATGTGTATTAAAGAAGGTACAATTTTGGGTCCACAGCTACTCAATATTTATTTGCACGATATATTCAAAATTACCAGTACTGGTAAAAGTCAGTTTTGCGGACGACACCGCCATACTGTATGCAGGTGAGGATTGAGTCGCGCGTTATTGGAGCAGCAGCCGTCCGATATGGAGGTACCCACTTTTGATCCAGCCAAGTGCGAGGTTCGGACAGAAGTAATTCAGTTGCACTCAGTTGCTGAATATCGCTCGGTATTGACTAAAGCTGCCGATAAATAACACAACTCAGTATGGCCAAGTTCACCCGGTGACTTCTGTCAATCAGTCTGAAGGTTTTCAAAATTTTGAATGCTGTCCATTCAGAGGATATCTACCAGACTAGGCTAAGCTGTCTCTCTTTATAGTTACACAAGATGTACTAGAGTTCCTTGGTGTTTCCTACTTAGAAGAACATCCGGTCTTTAATGAACTTTCTTGTCAGTGACTTTATAAGTCATTCGACCATTTCAGGACCACATAGCACAATATGATTTTTTTTGGCAACCTGGCATCCTGGCCAGTGAGGTTATGTCTTGTACATGTACATCAACGCAACATGTCAGTTGGCATATACAAATTTCATATCGTATTACGCGGCCCTTAGGGGTCTTGGTGGATTCTAGGGATTCTTCTCGGGGAATTCTATTCTAATCAATGTAGTATGATCTCAGAAATTTGATCTTAAATTTTTTACCAAAGCAATAAAACAAGTGTAACAACCCATATTTATTTGGAATTAAAAGAGGGACTATCATCACTGAGAAAAAGGAAATTGCATGAAAGGTCCTATATTAGGCACTATTATTTGTTTGTACATGTTGTCTAGATGGTCATAGAAAGTTAATTGAGGGTCATTTTATGGAGGGACACCCTGTACATATTGTTCGACGGTTCAAGCTAAACAATCCAAATGTTAGAATAAAGACATCCTTTTATATGATCAGACTGTAAAGCTTGGAAAAGGATGCTGTTATAACGTCTGCCAGGTTTGTTGCATCGTGTGTTTAATTTTGAGTTGGTTGTGATTTTTCTGGATTGAATATACCTCGTTATTTGTGATTTTGCCGTACACGCAGAATAATTTCAAAACCTTACCAGATATTAGAGGTTGTCTAACCGAATTTCAGTTCCCTTTTTGATGTTATTTACCCTAATGATTTATTTGATTCATTCCATTTTAAAGCTCTTTACTTCTAGAGCAAACGCTTATCACAAGTTACTATTTTTCGTATTCACCAAGAATATTTCTATCCAATTTCAAAGCAGTCCACAAAATAACCCGAAGCTGGAGCCGAAGCACTACTCAATAAGGAGTTATGATACTGAAGTGCATAAGCGTCCATCATCATAAAAATCCTAGGTCAGGGCTTCCCATTTATTCGGCAAATGAATATAGAAACTTCCATCCTCGAAGAAAAGAAGAGCACATAATAATATATTCTTATTACGCTTTTATTGAACATTCAGCTGTACGACATGCAATTTTCTTTTGCCGATTTGCTTTTACAGTTATTGCTATCAACTGCCATCAATTTCCATTCTTAAATTTTATGTCCCTATTATAGGTTCAAATAAACTGTCAAAAAAATACAGGATGGGAAAACCTTTAGGTACACAGTTTTACAAAAGTTGACGTATGACAGCTATAAACAGGTTTTTAGTAAACTGATGAGAGCAGTTCGCCAAATATTTTCAAAATCATGGCTTGGTGTATCGCAAGTAGGTATGCTTTAAATTGATTACCATCTAATTATTCAATATTTGGAATCTATATGTGAGATTCTAAATACACATCGTATACAGGGTGGCGCATCGAAAACGAAACAGACGCATTTACTGCAGCTCAGTTTTTTTTTAAAAACGCTCCGACCTATCGATTTTGTTTTCGAGGGGGACAAGTTTGGCAAAAAATCACGTTAACACGTGCGCCCGGCGGGGGTGACACCAACCCTAAAATCTTAAATGGAAAGGGGGGTCGAGTGATACCTTATTTTAAAGGTCTTTTAATTCCATTTATAATGATGTACATACATGATCTTCAGTTCAGTACGTCCATATTTGTTTATCATTTTGTTGTTGAAAATAGCTATTGCAGCGTTTTTTTGT